CAAATTCATAAATGATTTATAAATTCTTAAATGTATATTGATGTCCTCTTTTGGGCAAAACATCAAAATACAATTTAGACATAATAATGCTTAGATGTGTATTTAACGTAATTCAATAATTTTTAATGTGTCAATCAATAATATTTATCATCTTTGGTTACATAAATAAAACTAACAACACTTCTAAATTATCTCCTTAATATTCAAGGATATAAAATGAAATAATCAACTTTTGGGTGATCCGTAAATATCAAACAACCAAAAATTTCATTATATCCTTAAGTGTTATATCAATTATTTTGAATTGATTCCTCAAAGATTAGACCACTTTTGTGATTAAGTAATCTCATATAAATAATTTCAAAACAAAATAGATCATGATAGTGAATAATCATTTAACTTAATACTACCTTTCCCATTTTCAAATAAGGAAAACATTAATTTTGTGAAAATTCATCAATTGTTAAACCTAGCTATGATACCACATTTAAGAATTTTAATGATTGTGAAAACATACACAATATATGCATTCTTAAATCCTATGAATGATTCATGATCATAGAACCATATGATTTTCACATATCTATTACAATGATAATTCAGTGAACAATACTTACCCAAATCAGCCATAGTTATTCTTCAAGAATTTTAACTTGAATTGAGCGGAAGTCATTTTTTTCGTTCTTAAAATGTTGTTTCTCTATCTTGCCTTATACTTTATGAATAGTTTTGATGGATAATACTATAAATTTATGGCAGAGAGATGACCCTTTAAATAAGATTGTGTTTTACATCATTCTCACATTTTCATCATGGTGAGTAGTGGAGATAACGGATAATTTTAAAACTAACAAGTAACTCCCCACTTAATGGGTAGTTGGAAGAGAAAAAGGGAAAAATGGAAGACTTAATGGGTAGGGGTAGTTAGAAGTAACTAAGTAATTTCACCACTTTCCCACTTCTCCATACATGTAAGTAACGTCTCCACTAATCCAATTAGAATTAGAATTTAGTTAGTTTTTGAATATTAAATCAACACAATATAACGTGAGCCATAAAAACTAACACATGTGGGCTATAAAACTTATATTGTTATCCTTTTCAAAGTCCTTTTTAAAAACATCATCAACGATTATAACATTTCTAGGATAAATAGTACAGTAAGAACCATTTATAGAATATTGTTTAAATAAAACATCATCAATTTCTAATTGTTCAAAGAAAATAAAATTTTTATGTGACCATCGTTTAAAATTTTTTCCATCGAGGGTTCAACCATTGACAAGTTAAAAAAATTGTTTAAAGAAAAAATATTGTATGTTAAAGAATCCCTTTCAAATTGTTGGGAAAAATATGACAACATTGATATTAAAATTAATAAATAACTTATCACAAACAGTGTATCGTGGCAACACACTGTCTTGAATGCGATTTCGGCTAAACTCCAATGAAAATCATTGTAGCTGGTTGCTCCTCAAGGTTCCACGATTACTTTCAAACACGTGCGCTCGTGGATGAAAGTTTGGAGTTGCAAAGAAACAATTAACCAGAAATTCACAATAGAAAGAAGGATTATTTAAGCAAATAAAAAGAAAGTATTGAGGGAGATAGTAAATAAAAGAAAGGACTTGATTTTCTTCTCTGTGTTAAGATCCCAAATGATTTTCCTTGATTAGGAAAATCATTTATGTTTCATGCACCATAATAATGTATGAAACAAACGTATAATCAATGTAATGAAACATAAGTCTTAATTTGATGACAAATTGTTCATAATACGAAAATAACTTCAAGTCTTCTGAAGGTTTTTTTATGAAGTTAAGAAACTGACACTTAATATGAATGTGAACCATTACTGAGGAAGTAACTTTCCTATTTTACATATGCTAACGACTTAGGAATGCTTACATAGATTGATTACGGAAAGTTAAAAGATGTAATTTATCCTTTTCATTAAAAGAAAAAGAATATTATCCTCCCTTTCTACATTTATTCTAATGCATACTTAGGCCTAAATTTCTTATCCAAATGTAAGGTACGATACTCTAAACATGCACTTTTGTGGTTAAGATCATATACTAGAAGTTTGAAGATAGGTGAGTCCTGAATTTTCGGGGAGCAAACATTTATTTCATTTTTTCATTTTATGTAACTTTTTGAACTTGATATACGTTTTACGTCTCAATTTATTATTATGTACTAGATGGATTTGAGACATTGTTAGATTCGGCTTTGTTTTATAAAACTCTCTTTATATTTTGAAATGATTTTTTAATATCTTGATTTTTATCATCTTGTATGATGAATGTTAAGTGGTTTATATGTGTCCTCTATGGTTCTTGTACGTAATGTTACACCTAGAGTCCGCCACGGTTGTGACTGTTATCTTAACCTGAGGAATTACATAAGTGTCTAATATGGAATTTTGAAATATAAATAAAGGGGCGCCATTAAGAGTTTCTTGTGGACTAATTTGTAATTTATTATGGTATGAATACTTAAATTAATTTTGCAGAATTATTTTCATAATAGGAAGTCTCAGTTATTATTTATGTGTAATTATTTATGTGATCCATAGATTTTCTATATTAAACAATAACTGAGAATCCTATTTCTATGGGAAAAGAAATAATAATGTGATTTTCTTGTTCCTCAAGAAAAACAGGTTTCGACTCTTTTTTAGATTGGAAAAAATCTCTATAAAGACAAAAAATATTCTATTCGAAATTTGTCCAATAAAGTATTGAGAGAGTTTGGATGTGCACTTATGATCATTGTCCAAGAATGCAAAGCTATTGTCTATCTTGTGTATTCACTTGAAAGTCTTTCTAATTTGTGGAGTCGCTTGAAGGTATTTGCTCACGCTTCAAGAAGTAATTTTTGAATTAAAATTCAGCAAGATTATGTGTGTTTTATCAATAATTATATGAGTTTTCGCATAACGGCATTAGTTGTCTGTTATTCATGTAAGCATCATAAAACTATTATGCTTTCATTGTCCATATTGTTTTCCAGAAGTTGGCATCATAAGTCACACTTACTTTTTCTTAAATAATGTCATATATGATTATATATTGCTTTGATACATACATGAATATACAATATTTTAACCCATGTTTGGTTAATAATAGAGATCAATTTTATTTCATTATTGATTTTTGAACTATGATATTATACTGTAGTGTTACTAATGTGAGAACCAATCTTAATATTTTTTATTGTTTCGAGATGGGTTCTGATTCTCATTGTATTGCAAAAGTTTTTTTAATAAGAACAATGAAAAAAGGGGAAAATATAAGGAAAGGGTAGTAGCATTGCTGTGGCTCAAAAAAACCACTAAGTTTATTTTACATCGTAGTGTATCACTCCAAATTTCCTACTTTTTTAAATAATCATTCTTTATTGGATCTTAAGATTATAATATTCCTAGCCACATTTTTTGTTAGAAAATAAGAATGGCATTAAAATGGCATCAGAAGTATGGATATTTTTCGGACTACTGTAATCAGTATATTTAACTTTATATGGATTATTATATTTTTAAAAAATTATCCGATTACGCTTTCACTACTGAAGTTGTAAAGTTTTTTTAATAAAATAATTAACTAAATGCTTGATTATAGTAGTTGACAACAAATAAAAATAATTGAAAACTTTTATTAAATGAAGACTACGGTAGTTGGCAATGTTATAATAGTTTTTAATTATGTATTTACTTAAGTTAGCTATTTACTATATTCGGGTTAAGTAATAATGTATTATAATCGGGTTACCTAATAAAGTATATTTTCAATTATTAAGGTTGAATGGTCTAATGAACTTTTATTCTTGTATCAGATTGTAAAGTGAATCCTTTTAATTATGAATTTTTCAAGTAAACAAATAAACTTAAAGAAACACAATATTGTTAACCCTTTTTTCATTTGAAAAGCGTGTGTGTAATACAGTCAAATACACGTAGAATCCACAATATTTTTCTAAAGATAAGTCAGAAATTGAGTATTAAAAAATAATTTTTTTAAAAAAAAAATAATTTGTCCTGTTTATTTGAACCTCATGCTTATCTAATGCACCCTAGCCGCCCCCAAAATCCAAACTATGTTAAGCAAATATACACGGGTTGCCCTAGCTATAGCTTGAGAATTGGGTGTTCTCATTTGATTAGTTCAAAAATATATATGAAATATCTATTTTTGACATATTTCTTGCAAAATTATACATGAATTTTGCTTCCCCAAAACATCTTGAGATTCGCGAATCCTTAGAAAATTGTTCATAATTTATAAATCTTCGGCGACCATGAAAGATGGCTTGAAGTAATTATGAACATTTTAGCAGTGACAGTGCATCTTAATTCCTGTTGTCCAGCAAAGAGCGAAAATCGAGTAAATGGACCCAGGTGACGAGTCCAACAATGAGTTATTTGACTCAGTCGTCTTGATTTGGAGTTGAGTTATCAGATTCCTCAATTCAACCCTTATAATCTAGTTAATTGAGCTTTCAATTTACAGGGAAGTTTTCAATTTATGTTTCTAAATTAAAAGCTCAAACTATGTAACTCATTTTAAATTTGAAGATAAAAAAAACCAGTCAAAAGAATCATTCCAAAAAAAGGATCTTCTTTCCAATTTGTATGTTTGTTGTAGGATGATTGAAAGATTAGTAATTTCTTTTAGAAATGGATTGAGCTTACAATAAGAATTAATGGTGCAAAATATGGGCTGGTGTGGCCTTAATTTTTTTTACAAAAATATATAAGAAGGGATATTTTTGTTTTTTCAAATTTTTTTTTCTGATTATACGCGCATTTTTAATGAAAAGCACTAATTTCACGCTCTTAACTCGCATGTGCCTCACACATTTTTCCAACTCAACAATTTACTGTTACATAAGTTTTGTCAACAGTCGCAAGTGTTTAAAATATTGTGTTTCGTTGAGTTTAGGGATTGATTTGAAAAAATCATAAGTGGAAGACTCCACTTTATAATTCGATACAAGTATAGTGTGTGTCAGACTATTTATTCTACCAATCATTAATTCACTCAACTCTCTCAGTTCTCAATCTCACTAGTATCGCCTCTATCTCATCAGTTTTCTCGCCATCGTCACTTTTAGGGTTTCAATTCATGGAGGTTAAATTTCTCTCCCCTCCTTTAACGGTATGTTCAAATTTGTTGATTATTATTCTTTACGGTCTAGATTGTATTCTTTTTGTTGTTTTTGAGGTCCATGTTTTGGGACTAAAAGTTGGATTTACCATGTGAACTGTAAAGTTCTAATTTACAATGTCAAAATGCTATTAAATCTTTGATTTCTTTATTGGTTTATTGTGTCATAGTAAAGTTCCTCGTGCAATTGGTATTCTTTTCATCCCTTCTACAGAATCCGATAAATTTTCTTTTGATATTTTTCCATCGAAGTTCAGAAATCGAAACATTTTTTTAGATATATGAATGTATTAAAACGTAGTTCAGAAACTAGATGGAGTGAAAATTTTTTTTTACTTTGTTATCAAGTTCATGAATCTAACACACTTTTAATTTGATTCCTTAGTAGAATTGCACGTTTGAGTATACTCTAGTCTAGTTTGATGATTAATTAATATCAAGTCCATATCTTTGGGCTGTTTTCATCTAGGATTAATTTATTGACCTTGCTTTAAAGATAATTAAAAAATAGCATATCCAATGTAATTGCTATTTTACATTGGAACTTTTGGACTGAGACAATTATCCTCATTACAATATTTCATATAGATGTTATGATTTTCCTTAGTAGTTTTTACTTGAATAGGCACTTCCTCATAGTGTTTTAAAATTCATCTTGTTGTTCACTTGGGTCTTCTCTAACTACGTAACAACAAATTGTTTCTATTGAGGTCTTTGTTTATCTTTTCCAGAACAGTTTAAAAGTATGAGCAGAAAATTGATAAATTAGATGAATCATGATTTGTGTCTTCTCTTGCAACTGCAATATATATTCTCCAACAAATGAGATATACAAAGTCTTTTCTTAAATTATGGTGACTGGTTAGCATGTATAACAAGTGTAAGTGGCGTAGTAGCCAGTTTTAAGAATGGCCTTCTCCGTATCACAATTACAGTCTTAGTTTCGTGTTTTGAGTGTGAATCTATAAAAGAAAATAATATTTTGTGTTTTGTGTTTTGTGTTTTCATATTTTGAATTTTTCCCTATTAACTAAAATTAATATGAATTTCTTGTGTTAAAACTTGAAATGAGTTTCTTTCTTATTCAAATGACGATGAAACACCTGCCTATGAGTTGTGGCTAGTATGTTTTGAGAGCTCATCATAATCATGAGGGGTTGAGAGTGAAATTTTTAGATGACGTTAAGTATTTGAGAAGACACCTAAGAAAAGAAAGCATGATGGTACAAGGGAAGAAAGGGTAGAATAACCTGCAGATGAGCCGTTTGTAAGTTATAACACTTTAATATTATTTCATTTAATATTGGATGAGTGGCAGATTTCATATTTTGAGAGTTTGGTTTTGCCTGATTTCTTCATCTGTTTCTTTGACCTCAACTCTTCTATTCTTGATGTATTGTCTTTGTGATATAGTCACTGTCTCAAAGATAATTTGTGGTTTTTTATTTGCTTGTTGGCTTTCATATGATCAACTTTGATACAAAGCTTGTTGAGAATTATTTTTCTGCATAATCTTTATTGGGTGGCAGATTTCATGTCTAGATATTTTCTAATGATAATATTAGAATAAGAATATGATGTTGACCTGCAATAATGGGGAGGTTATAATGTATGTGATCCTTGTGAATTCTTTTATGTTCATTTTGGTTTTGCATTAAGATAAGAATTAGATATGAGCCTTAATAACTTTGGACTGAATAGAGATTTATCAACACAACTAACACAGTTCATTTGATTTTGCTGATGCTTCTGATCCTCAATACCAGAATTCTGTTTTTATTGATATATTTTTGTAACTACCGCCGTTTAAAAAAATAGAGTCGATCTATGTCTAATTCACTATTTCAACTTGTTATAGAATCTGTCATTATGACATAATAAAAGTTGTTATTCTGTTGTTTATTTACTATTTTGTTCCCAAAAATATTAAATATAGAGGTCAAGATTATTTTGTATAAAATTATATGCACTATGGTTAAAATGTTTTTCTGGTTCTACAAAATAAATTTTTAGTTGATATGTTATGAGACATGAGTATTACTTTTCTGGTGATTTGTGAGAAAAATCAGTAGTCTATGATCACACACAATTGAGTTCCTCCATTGATGAACTTTGAGTTCGCATGAAGAATGGAGAAGAAGAAGATTCTGGAAGAAAATTATGTGTAAAAAAGTGTTTTCATTCAATATATATTGAGTACTAACTATTACATGAGGATCTATATAAATAGATACAAAAACTAAAGCTAGATGGCTAACAAACTTTTTAAGCTGACTCTAACTAACAATGTATAGTGATAACTAATTTTGTGAAGCTACAAGAATAACTAACTTATATTCTTATAACCCTCCTCAAGTTGGAGGTAAATGAGTTTACAGACAACTTGTTTAGCAACGTAGCATGCTTAACTCCAGTTAGAGCTTTGGTGAAAATGTCTGCGAGTTGAGAGTATGTGGAAATGTGATGACGTGTGATCAAACCCTGTTGAATCTTATCCCTAACAAAATGTCACCAATCTCTATATGTTATGTGCTTTCATCAAACATGGATTCTTGGCAATATGGTCTATAGCTTGGCTGTCACAAAAGACCTGTATTGATAAGGAGCATTGTACAGACAACTCATCCAGTAACCTTTCAACCCATACCAATTCACCTACTACTTGCCAAACATTTCTGTTTTCAACATCTGTAGAGGACAATGAAACCGTGGCATGTTTCGTAGATTTACAGCTAATAGGATTGTGACCCATAATCACCAAATAACAACAAACTGATTTCCTTGAATCACGACAAGCATCCAATCTGAGTCATATGCAGTGATAGTAAGGTAAGGTTTGTTTAAGATGCAGATTCCCATTGTAGGATCTTGTCTTAGGTACCTAAGAACATGATAAGCTGCCTCTAAATATGGTTTCCTTGGTGTTTGCATGAATTGACTGAGGTGTTGCACACTGTAAGCTATATCCATTCTGGTATTTGTAAGAAAGTTTAGTTTCCCTATCAACTTCCTGTAATGAGTGGGATTGGAGAGTTTCTTTCCGTCAGTGGCTCTTAATTTCTCAACATAATCAAGAGGTGATGTAACAACCTTGCCATTTATAGAGTCATATTCTTTTAACAGATCAGTAGTAAACTTCCTTTGTGAAATAAGCACACCATCAAGTTTGTACAAACTTTCTAACCCCAGGAAGTAATGCAATTTACCAAGATCGTTTTTTTTAACTAATCATGTAAAAAGGATTTCAAAGAGTTGATTTTTTTTATCAATTCTAGTTAGAATCACATCATCGACATAAATAGCAACAAGCACCAAAGAACTTCCATTCCTCCTATGAAACAGTGAGTAATCACTATCTGAATGTGTGTATCCTTTTGAACAAAGGTTGCTGGCCAATTTGTCATACCACTGCCTACTAGCAAGTTTTAAACCATACAATGACTTTTTCAACTTGCATACCACATTTGGACTATCAACAGCAAGACCCTCCGGCAATTTCATATACACTTCCTCATTCAAATCACCATGAATGAAGATATTATTGACATGTAGTTGATACAAACTCCACCCTCTCCTTACATCAAAGGTAATAAGAGTTCTAAAAGTAGTCATCTTCACCACATGACAGAAAGTTTCATTGTTATCGATGCCAGCCTGCTGAGTATACCTCTTAACATCCATCCTTGCCTTAAACCTTTCCACAATACTATCTGCCTTATATTTTATTTTATACACCCATTTACAACCAACTGGATTCTTTCCTTGGGGTAAAGGAACAAGTTCCTAAGTATTTTTTGTATACAATTCTTCAAATTATTGTGTCGTTGCCTTTTGCCAAGCAGGATGCAAGATTGCCTCCTTATAAGAAGAAGGTTCACAATCATGTGAAATGTTTTCAATCAACTTTTGACATCAAAACAGAAGGAGGTCAAGTAAACAATATCATGGTTTGTCATAAAAGAAGTAAGAGAGTGAGAACTAGAGGCATTTGAATAGGAGTGTAGATTAAGTAAAGTTTAATCATACTGTTTCAGGTAGTTAGGGGTATGAAGTGATCTAGTTGTTCTTCTAAGGGTAGGTGCATTATCACAAGATGAAATAGATGAAGGTATAGGTTGTGAGGTGATTAATGTGCCGGTGGGAGGTTGCATGTCAGGAGCTGTAGGTGAGATTGTGTTTTCAACAGTGTTAGTATTTACTTTATTTGTACTAAAGTCATGAGATGTGTTAATGACCAGTGATTTCATCATTAGAAAAAAATGCTAGTTGAATTAGGTATGAAAGAAGAGTTGTTAGAGAAGTGAACTAAGAGTTTTAAAACTGAAGGAAAACTGGAACCATTAGGAGATAAGACAAAAGGAAACACAGACTCATGAAAAAAACATCGCTGGACACATGAACTCTCGTAGTGACTAAATCTAAAACCTTGTATCCTTTTGTATTGAAGGGATATCTAACAAAAATGTGTGGTGTTGCCCTTGTTTAGAACCTATCTTTATGCGTTTTCAAGGTAGCGGAGAAGCATAGAAAACCAAAACTCCTAAGGTGAGAATATGTAGGGTGAGTATGGTACAACAATTCATAAGTTGTCTTATTTTGTAAAATTTTTGAAGGCAACCTGTTAATGATGTATGTTGCTGTATGTACACACTCTCCCCAATATTACATGGGCAATTTGGACTTGAACATGAGTGCTCTTGCTGTTTCAAGAAGGTACTTGTGTTGTTTTCAACTACACCTTTTTGTTGAGGTGTGTAGGGACAAGACATTTTTTGTATTATTCCTTTCTCTTAGAAAAAATGAGTGGTTTCAGTAGATGTAAATTCCAGACCGTTATCAGACCTGAGAATCTTCAAATGGTTTGAAATTGGTTCTCAACAAGTGATACAAAAGCTTTGATTGTTTGTAGGGCATTACTTTTAGACATTAGCAATTGTGTCCAAGTTGAGCTAGAGAAGTCAGCTATCATGGTCAAACAATAATGATAACCATCACGAGTGGGAATGTTGTATGGTCCCCATACATCAACATGAAGCAATTCAAAAACTTTGGTCGTGTTGGTTGTACTTTCTGGAAATAACATTCTAGTTTTCCTAGCCATAGACATATGGAACAAGTAAAAGGTTGTCTAGGTGAGAATTGAATACGTATAATTTGGATGTTTCTCATCTTTACAAAAGGTAGATGGCCTAGACTTGCATGGTTCATCTCTATGAGATTTATCAGATTTAACAAAAAAATAATAGCAATAAGTAATATGGCATGGAGAATCAAAACTATAACAACCATCTTTATTGATTGAAAAATATTCCTTTACAAGATATGATGGTGCTGGAACATCGTTACATTTTACTAAAGAAGACACTGTATGTCAATGATTTGAAGAATCATGAGATTTCCTGATGCTTTTAAGAGGTGGACAACAGTTATGACACTTTGAACACAAGAAGTACAACCATTCTTTGCTCTACCATGTTCTAGAGGGCTTTTCACAGAAGGCCCTGCATCAAACAAGAAACACTGTTAACACTTAGCACACCTTTGAGTTGAAACATCAAACAATGAACTGAAATTAGATTGAACTTGAAACTAGGTACACAATGCACTTTCTGCCGATTTAAAAGTGGACTTAAACAAACATCACCAACTTCAGTAACTTTAACCTTTTAACAATTTGGTAAACTGATAAGAAAGGGAGATGGTAGTGGTCTAATGTTTGTGAGTGCGGATTTATTGTATGTTATGTGATGTGATGCTCCAGAATCTATAATCTAAGAATCAACAGTTAACTTTGCACATTTACAAAAAAGATCACCTATCTTAGTAATGGAGGAATAACATACGAGTATACTACAAGGTTCACAGCTCCATTGAACTAGTTTTCTGGAGTGTTTGCAGTTCCATGTTAATTAATTGTTCATACTGATTTTTAGACAGATTCAATGACATTTTCCTCTTTAACCCAGGATCCTCTTCACATTTACTTCCATCAGTCTCAGAAGTACATGCATTTGTTGCAGGGATACCATTCTTTCCCTTTGAGAATTTGACATTGGGTGAATATCCATGTAGACTATCGCATCTTTATTTTGTGTGTCCTGTTCTTTTGCAAAAATCACAATGCAGAGAAGCTCTGCTAGTACTGCAGTTTCCTCGAAATACATTTGTGATACTTGAACTTCCAGATGTTGCAACATTTTCTCTAGATGATTTATAAGTGGTTCTGGGTCCTCCTTTGGTACCTGCATTGTTGTAAGAGAAGGCAAAAACATTCAAAGAGGTCGAATCAAAGGTAGTATGATATGAGGCTTCACTACTCTCTGTTTTCTACACGATAAAATATGGCAAAATCTTGTGCCATGCTAGGTAGTCTACTCATCATGAGAATGTTCCCCTTGATGATAGTGTACATGTTATTTAGCCCAATCAGAAAATGGATATGTCTTCTATCCTATTTATCCTTGACTAAGTTCACCTTTCGACCACAGGTGCGCACACAATTGCATTGAAAACTTATATCAACAGTGCTCATTTCTTCCCATAGTTTCTTCATTCTCGTATAATAAAAAGTGATATCCAAGGTCCCCTGCACAAGATCATTTATCCTTTTTGAAGTTTATAGAGCTTACAACCAGTTGTTTCATCATATCTTTCCTCCAATTTACCCCATAATTCCTGTGCATTACTAATATAATGCAGTCTGTCTCTTAGATCCGGTGATAGTGAATTCTGAATCCAAGAGGTAACCATGTCGTCACACCTTTCCCACTGCTGGAAACTAGTATCAGTAGGATCATTTTTTATAATTTTTTCATTGATGAATCCTATTTTACTCTTAACAGAGAAAGCTCTAAGAAAAGCTCTCCTCCAAATCTATAACAATACCATTGAAAAAACAACAGGCAACAGAGATAAACTTGCATTCTCAGATGGATGCAAGTAAAAAGGACTAGAACTATCTATTCTAATAGTGGATGTGGAATCAGTCTTAATTGGATTGACTTGAGTATCAACCATGGTGAACCTAGATCGTGTTTGAATTCAGAAAATTGAATACAAAAAAAATACAAATTGAGGAAAACAAAGGTCAAAACATGAACTCGATTCAAATATCAAGAATCTTAGAAAAACCCAAAAAATCAAAGCATGAACTCGATGTAAAATTCAAAGGCTGATGTTAATTCGAAAAAGGAGCAGAATCTATGTCCACAACTCTGATACCATGATAAAAGCAGTAGTCTATGATGACACACAATTGAGTTACCCCATTGATGAGCTTTGAGCTCCTATGAAGATCGGAGAAGAAGAAGAAGATTCTGGAAGAAAATTATGTGTAAAAACTATTTTCATTTTATGTGTATTGAGTACTAACTATTACACGAGGATCTATAAAAATAGATACACAAACTAAAGTTAGCTGGCTAACAAACTTTTGTAACTGACTCTAACTAACAATGTACAGTGAAAACTATTTTTGTGAAGTTACAATAATAACTAACCTATATTATTTTCAATTTGAAAGGGACTTTCATGAAAAGAGTAAAACACAACTTATTTACGAGAATGGCTCCACGGCACAACTGTTATATGATGATATTTCTTTAATATGAACAAATGTGAGTGTGAAGAAACGTAGATTATTTACGAACATTGAGTACAATCTTCCTCATGTAATTCATTGTCATCGTTATTCGGTGTATCTACTTCTTAATCTTCGAAACAAATGAAAGAAATATAGAATAACTTCAAACATGTACAAAAGAAAATTGAAAAACAAATGCCAGAGTCTGATGAAAAAGAGTTTTATTGTAGACGAGATTGTTCTGGTAGTTCATTTAGGATATTTGAACATTTTGTGAGATTTGGACGCGTATATAACTATTTACTTTCGTTTTAAATAATTATTAGACTTACTTTTTTGTGATACTTTAACTTTTACACTTCTTTATACTGAATAAAATTTGAATGATAAGAGATATATTTGATGTTTGATATTATTGTTCAATTTTATGAATGGATGATAGTATAATTTAATAGGTTGTGTATCAAATAAATATTTTTTATATATAAAAATGCATTTTTAATGCATACTACAGTAATCGACTCATATTACTTTTTGCAAAAAATAAATATTTGTCGACTACAACAATTGTCGAGTACATAATTATTTTATTAATAAATTATTTATTCTGACTACAATAGTCTGAAGAACACTTAAATTATAATAAATAAATTGTTTATGCTGACTACTATGGTGGAAATATATATTTATTAAACATTCAACTATTTAAGTTAATATATTATTATTTTTTCAACTATCGTATTTTTCGACATTCAATATACCGACCATCTAAATTAGTCGAAAAGTTATCGCAAACTTCATTTTCCTATTACATTCCAACTATTTTTGCAGATGTAAAACAATGAGTTTCTTGTAGTGCCAAGTGTCGAGATAGTTTTGATGTGAACTTATGATCATTGTCAAAGAAGACAAAGTTTTTGTGTATCTTGTGGATTAGCTTGAAAGTCTTTCTAATTTTGGAGTCGCTCGAAGGTATCTGCTAAAGCTTAAAGAGGTAATTTTTGATTTAAATTTTAGCAAGCATATGTGTTTTAGCTTGATTATATAAGTTCTAGCATAAATATATTGGTTGTCTATTAATTATGTAAGCAACATGATACTGTTATGCTTTCATTGTACATATAGTTTTCCAACAATTGGAATCATGAGTCACACTTATATTTTCTTATATAACATGATATATGAATGTATATGGTTTTGATATATACATGAATATGCAATTTTTGAACCCAACTTCGGTTAATGATAGAGATCAATTTTATTTAATATTGATTTTTGAAACCATTACGTTTGTTTTACATCGTAGTGTATCACTCCAAATTTCCTACTTTTTTTCTCCTTTTTTCATTGGTTCTTAAGAGTATAATATTCCTAGCCACATTTGTTGTCAAAAATTAAGAATGACATCAAAATGACAAATGAAAAATAAGATATGTTGTTTTGCCTCCTTACTTTAATTATATTAGCATAAAACTTCACTTTGTCACATGAATATATTAACTTACATATATTATGTAATTTATATTAATAAATGGTTACCATTAGAAGTGTTTGTTTATTTGAAATTATTAAAAGTTGATGTGTCTGAGAGATATTGCCATATATGAATTGAGAATTACGATTAATAAATAAGATTTACGAAAATGATCTATTTATTTTAGACATTAGAAAATGCTCAAAGTATTACTTATATATTGTCATAAGTGAATATTTGTATTTAATTTATTTATAAGAATAAAGATTTATTTTCATATTATAGTAATGCTTAATTAAGTCATGATATGGCATATCTAGGTTTTTAATCAAAAGAGAAAGCATAATATCTTGAATTCATTGATGTATTAATCGAGAAGACGATTTGTTATATAAAGGTGTTGTATGTCTCATAAAAAACAAAGACATAAAATATGTCTTATGCCTATGAGATAATTATTACAATAGAGTGGAAATTCGAATCAAGTTATTTTAATTTGTAACAATGCCTGAAACGTTTGTTTTTCAAATTTTGTCATAGTTTAGGTGGTCATGAATTTTATGATATCTGATAAATGTGAAATTTGATGTTCCTTTGAAACTCATTTCGATGGGATTTAATTAGTTTTTGGATTACATTTTTTTTAATGTGAATATGATAAGATCATTCTTTATGCCAATTTTATGTTAAATTTTAAATATTGTTACACATGGTGATTTAACATGAATTGATATGTGATAATAATGGATGTCATGTTGTTTTATCTCCTAAAGATGCTTAAATTATTCGAATATGAATTTTAACCTACCTTTGAATTTTTTTATATTTAAATTAACTTGATATTTGTAAGTTCAATCAAAAAAACCTAGCGCGAAATACTTATAGCTATAAGGTTATGGTTTTCGAGGTCATTAAGATTGTTTTTAAGTTCTTTACTTTGATTTAGTATGAAAATAATCCTTTATATCATTTTTTATTCAATGTGGTACATGATTACATGTGATTATTTTACGTGAATTGATATGTTATAAGGATATGGATCTTATTATTTTTTCTATAAATCGTTTGAATCTGAATTTGATCATAACTTTTGGAGATAAATATTCATTTTGAATTCTAATTGATTCGAAATTCAAAATGTTCATGAAAAACGATCAAATTAAAAATGCTCATAGCTATGGAGTGATTTTCTAATTTGAATATGTTTGAATGGTGTTTTGGATATTTTGTTGTATCTAGAAATTTAATTTCAAAGAAAATTACTCCAATTTGATACAATGATGATAGAGATTGTTCTTTATAATTTTCATCATTAAATTTGGTGAAGTATTATACTCATATGTTGGCTTTAACCTTCCTCATTATAGGATGAAATGAATACAAGTCACTAGATTTAATCTCTAGTTTTGATAATCTGTAACACCGTGTATCTAAAGAAGACATGAAATTAACTTATCAAAAATTTGCAGGTGAAATAAACGATTTCCATCGACGGACTGTAGCCTTACCCACATCCCATGCTGCACATCCAGCGATTGTGACTGAAACTTCCCCAAGGCGTAACACAGAAAATTTGACTAAGTGTCGAACGATGGGAGGACCTACGGTTTGTATTCTATGTTCTTCAATCAACACCCCATTTACCCCTCTTTGACAAGGACCACTACTGATCAGTACGGTTCACAGATGGACCTATGGACTATAGGTGGAAATTAGCAGACAATTAGGGGGAAATTGCAGTAGGGTCAACTTGAAATGATGATATCTCTTAGCACAAAATGAATAAGGTGTCCCATGACCAATGATGATATATAATTGAATAAGCTTTCTATAGCCACAGATTTTGCTAAATCCATAACTCCGAGTAAAACAGTATGCCCGTTTTAGTAAAGTCCTGCTGAACAGACCCAACATAGACCCAAACGACGGGCTTTCCAACATGAATTAATTCAGGGTTCTTTTGGTATTTTCCTACTTCACGTTATTTTGACCCTAAATCATCAAAGTTTAGTCATTTTAAGCCTACAAACATAACTAAAACTTACCTAAGTCAAATCATTAATCAAAAACATAGAAAATTAGAAGCAAGAGAGGAGGAAAAAGTCAAGAACCCTAGTTCAAGAATGTAGCAAGTAACTATCAGTTCCAACCTCAAAATGTAAATATTTTTCCGTGAACTTCATCATCAGGTATGTGGGGTTTCACTAGTGGGTAACATTTACCCATTGGATCCCTAGTTTTCATTCAGATTCTTGATACCCATATCATGATTAGAACGAGGTTTTCTACAACATCATTAATTAATTAGATAAATGTCTTAAATCAGATTGTCATGTTATTATTAAGTTTATCGCATGAATTTCAGAACCCTGACTATGTATTCCTTTTGTTTTTGAATTGCACATGCTAGGTATGATATTTCAATTAGTTCATATATACTTGCCTCCTGTATAAACACATAATTACTAGATTTATTATTGCATTCTCAGTTTGCATGTTCAGTTTTGATCTATTCACTATTTACAAAAACTCAGTCATAATCAGTTAATACATAATGTATTGTGAGTAGCATTAATACAGAGTTGAACTAGGGTTCAGCGTACCCAATAAACCCAAAACTACTAGCTAGTAGGTTGCAAGTCCCCTATGTGGGCATCAATTTAGTGATTACGCCAGTATGCCTTTATATCTCTAGCAGGGTATATTGTGTCCTCTCGATGGGGCGTACACATCAGACTCCACATTTAGCTCATGTTACTTTGTTATCGATTATTAATAGCTCTTATAGGTCAGTCAGATTCTATTGTATTGACCATTTATCACTATATCCAGTATTCAATTTCAGCATGTTATAAATTGGTCATTGCAGTCAGTCACCTCATTTTTCAAAATCTATATCATGTTAAGATTATGTAATTGCTTTTGTGCCTATTCATTTATGTATTATTTCAGTTTTATTATATTCTACATGCGCTGTACTTCAAGTAGTGACGCATACGTGGGCTACCTCTTCACTTGATATAGGTTCAGGTTCTCAGCATCTAGATCAGGCTTAGACAATTATCCCATCTCTAGTTCAGCATATTTAGTGGTGAGTCCTCATTCTCCGAGGACAATCGTCATGAGTTAATTTCAGTATTTTAGTAATTTATTTTAAGTTTTTGCTAGACTTAGTTGGGGCTTTTCCTTGAATTTCTAATGAGTTGGAGGCTAATTTTCAGACATAGTTTATTTCAGCGTAGTATCGAGTTAATATTTCCTTCATATTAAACTCATTGTTTTCAAATATATTAGTTATAGAATATGGGTATCCCCGAACTTTTCAAATTAAATTATGATTTAGCTTCTGTATTTAGTTTATTATCTTTATAATGCTCATGATCATGCCAGTAGGTTTAACTTGGGATCACTTGTGGCCCTAGGTTTTGTGTCGGCGTCTCGGGTGTAGCTCGTGGCGTTACAAAACATGATATCATAGCTCTAGGCTTATGAGTACTAGGATGTCTGAAAATCCGCACTAAGTAGTCTTTTTCATGGGTATGAAGAGCACCACATCTAATGAGAGGGAGGCTACAAAGTGTTTTAGGAAAAACTTCACATTCTTGTTACTCTTATTGTTCGTAAGGTATGATCTTATTCCACTCTAACTTGACATTCTAATTTTTAAATCATGCCTCCTCGTAGAGCTAACTCTAGGAATGCGAATGCTAGGAATGCAAATGCAGCTCCTCCAGTCCTAGATCAGGGAGTCTCAAATATTGAGTTTAGAAATGCTTTACAAAATTTTGGTTTAGAGTATAACCAACCTGAACAGTTGGGTTCATGCTCCTGGGAATGCAAATGGTAGATCAGTAGCAGCAAGGGTCCGTGACTTTGTTAGGATAAATCCGCCTGAGTTCTTAGGATCGTAGACTATTGATGATCCTTAGAATTTCTTGGATTTGATCAAGAAGATATTTGAGGTAATGCAAGTCACTAAGAATGATCGGGTTAAGTTTGCATCATACTAGTTGAAGGATGTTACTCATGTCTGGTATACTAAGTGGACGAAAATACGGGTACAAATGTCTCTCCTATTATTTGAGATGCTGTAGTGAGACCTTTCTGAACAGGTTTTACCCAATAGAGTTTAGAGAAGCAAAGGATCAGGAATTCATGAACTTAAGGCAGGGAAACATGACATTCCAAGAGTATGACCTCAAGTTTAACAAACTCTCCAGGTATGCTTCTCTTGTGGTTGCTCAATCTAGGGCTCCGATGAATAAGTTCTTGTATATAGTGTCAAATTTTGTGAAAACGGAGTACAGAAGTGATATGTTACTTGGAGATATAAACATAACTACGCTTATCACTCATACTCAGCAGGTTGAGGGTGATAAGATTAAGGAACATTCTAACAAGAATAAGAAGTCTAGGACTGGTAACTATGATTATTCTCAGCAAAAATTGGGTCGTCGAAATCGCTCCCAGAGCCATCAAAAGTTTTCAGCTCTAGCCCCTTCGTCTGCTAGTGTTTTATCCTCCAAGAACATGTATGAGAAAAAGGTTAGAGCACCAGGATTTAAGTCCTAGGGAAGTGTTTCACGCACCAAGATTTGCCCTATTTTTTCGAAGTGTGGTAAGAACTATGCGAGCGAGTTCCTCGCATCAAAGGAAGGATGCTTTAGGTGCGGTCAGTCAGGTCAGAGGCTGAGGGATTTGTACTTCTATATAGGGTCAAGGAGGTTGTACTGGTAAAGCTTAGTCTATAACTTCATCAGCACCAACAAGTCGCCCGAGGTAACTCATCTGGTATACGTGGTGGCGGTCAGCGCAGAACATGCTGTATGCTTTTTCGAGTCGCCAAGATCGGGAAGGTTCTCTTGATGTAGTCACTGGTACGTTACGAGTTTTTGACCTTGATTTTTATGCATTGTTAGATCCAGGGGCTACTCTTTCCTTTTTAACTCCTTTGTAGGAGTCCAATTCATTATTAATCTAAAAACTCTCTCAAAACATTTCTTAGTCTCTACTCCAGTCGGTGACCCCGTTATAGCTAAACGGGTATACTGAAATTGCCCTGTCACTATCTTTCAGAAATTCACCTTAGTAGATCTCGTAGAGTTAGAAATGGTAGACTTCTATGTCATTCTAGGTATGGATTGGTTACATTCCTACTATGTCTTAGTCGATTATAGAACTGGGATTGTTCGTTTTCAGTTTCCAGATGAACCAATCTTAGAATGGAAGGGTAGTAGCTTAACACCTATGGGTCGATTCATTTCTTACAATAAGGCCAGAAATATGATCTCTAAGGGTTATGTCTATCATCTAGTTTGGGTTAAGGATTCTAGCTTTGAAACCCCAATAGTTGAGTCAGTTCCAGTAGTATGTGGGTTTCCAGAAGTATTTCCAAAAGATCTTCCCGGAGTCCCTCTCGTAAGGGAAATCGACATTAGAATTGATATCCTTCCAGATACCCACCCTATTTCTATTCCTCCTTACAGAATGGGTCCAACAGATCTTAAGGAATTGGAAGAGCAACTGAAAGACCTTGTAGATAAGGGCTTCATCAGACCTAGTATTTCACAATGGGGTGCACTATTATTGTTCGTAAAAAAGAAAGATGGTTCTCTCATAATGTGTATCAACTATAGACAGTTGAACAAGGTCATAAACAATAATAAGTATCCCATACCCAAGAATGATGACTTATTTGACCAAAACTTCAGGGTGCTAGTCATTTGTAAATGATAGACCTCAAATTGGGTTATCATCAACTTAGAGTTAGAAATAGTTACATTCCAAAGACAACCTTCAGCACTCGGTATGGTCATTATGATTTTATAGTTATGTCATTTGGACTAACCAGTGCTCCTGAAGCTTTCATGGATTTGATGAACAGAGTGTTCACATAGTACTTGAACTTGTCCATTATCGTCTTTATTGATGATATCCTCATTTACTCTAGGAATGAGGAAGAACATGCAAGTCATTTGAGAACTATTCTACAGACTCTCAAGGATCATCATTTATTCACTAAGTTTAGAAAATATTAGTTCTGGTTGCAATCCATTGCTTTCCTTAGTCTAATTGTATCTAGAGAATGGATCTGAGTTGATTCACATAAGATAGAAGTAGTGAAACAATGACCCAAACATACGTATGCTATAGATATCAGAAGTTTCGTAGGTCTAGCAGGTTACTACAGAAGTTTCGTGGAAGGATTTTCATCCATAGCCTCATCATTGAATAGGTTAACTAAGAAGATGGTCAAGTTTCAATGGAAAGATGATTGTGAGAAAAGTTTCACAGAATTGAAAACAAGATTGACGACGACTCCTGTCTTGACTCTACCAAAGGGTTCAAATGGTTATTTAATATATTGTGACGCATCCAAAGTTGGCCTAGGTTGTTTTTTTATGCAGCAAGATAAGGTTATATGATATGCTTCTAGAAAGTTTAAGGTGCATGAGAAGAACTATCCAACTCATAACCTCGAGCTTGCAGCAGTGGTGATTGCACTCAAGATATGGAGAGACTACTTTTATGGTGTTCATGTAGATGTGTTCTATGATCATAAGAGCCTTCAGATTTGTTCATCCAGAAAGAGTTGAATCTTCTCCAAATGAGATGTCTTGATTTCTTAATGATTATGACATGAGTGTGCATTATCATGCTGCAAAGATGAATGTAGTAGAAGATGCTCTTAGAAGATTATCTATGGGTAGTGTAACCCATTTTGAGGAAGAAAAGAAAGATCTAGAGAAGGATGTTCACATGTTTGCTCGCTTAGGAGTCCGCCTTATGAGCATACTAGACAACGGTGTAACAGTTTATAATGGGGAATAATCTTCTTTGAAAGTGGAGGTTAAGGAGAAGCAAGACAGTGATCCAATCTTTCTTGAACCTAAGGGTGCAATTAACAATCAAAAAGTGGAGGTTTTATCCCAAGAGGAAGATGCTCCACTTTGTTACCAGGATAGATTGTGTATTCCTGATGTGGGTGAGTTGAGAAAGAATATCCTTGCAGAAGCCCATAACTCTCGGTATTCCATTCACCCAGGTGCCACAAAGATATACCATGATATGCGGGAAGTCTATTGGACGAATGACATGAAGAGATATAGCAGATTTTGTCAGTAAGTGCCCCAATTGCAAGCGAGTGAAGGTAGAACATTAGAAACTAGATGGTATGTCTCAAGAAATCGATATTCCTACTTGGAAGTGGGAAGTGATCAATATGGATTTCATCACAGGGTTACCTCATGCACGTAGACAACATGACTTATTTGGGTGATAATTTATAGGATGACTAAGTCTTCTCCCTTTCAGCCCTCAAGACTTTAGATATAAGGTGACTATGCCAAGCTTTACATTAATGAAATTGTGAGGTTAAATTTAGTTCCATTGTCTATCATCTCAGATAGAGGTCCTTAGTTTACCTCTCGTTTCTAGAGGTCATTTCAGAAGGGTCTTGGTACGCAAGTCAACCTTAGCACAAAATTTCATCCACAGACGGATGGACAGGTAGAGCATACCATGCAGACCCTAGAGGATAAATTGAGAGATTGTGTGATCGATTTCAAGTGTAGTTGGGATGATCACCTTTATCTTATTAAGTTTGCCTACAACTATAACTACCAATTCAACATTTAAATGGCCCCTTATGAGGATTTATATGGGCGTAGATGTAGACCTCCCGTTGGTTGGTTAGAAGTAGCTGAAATAGCTTTGAGATGAATCCCCCTCAAACCAAATTTTCACCCAGTCGGAGAAGAGCACTAGAGTTTAAGGTAGCCGAAAAGAAAGCAAAGCTAGCAAGGCATAAGCAATACACCAAAGAAGGTAGGGCCAAGAGACGAATCCCCCTCAAACCAAATTTGCATCAATGTACTCAAAGTTTAATGAATGCAAAAAATACCTTTTTGGCAGATCATGACATAGAACAAATGGTAGCAGCTAACATTGATGTTGAGGTTAGGGCAACTGATAACACTAGAACTTCGAGTAGTAGAACTTTAGGAGCCATTGCTTTATTTCGGGAAGAAACTTCGGGCATTCATACCCTGACAGATGAAGAACCTGCATAAACAAGACCATTTCTTCACTCGTTCTCTTTGCTTATGTTTTTGAAATTATCAATATTGTCATTATTTGCATTTAAGGACAAACACTTTTGTTTGTGGTGGCGTGAGGCCCGCCTTTTTCTGCTTGTTATGAATATTAATATGTTTTGTGCATATTGGGGTAGTATGTTTAAAATTGCTTTTATGGATTGTTTGAGATTATGACTCTCTTTTGGGGTCCTAATTTCAAAATATTTTTGACCTTCCCAAAAAAATTCACTTTTGAAAAATTTACCACCTCTTTTGTTGAAAGTGGTTGTTCTTGTACAAATTTAAGTTTCGCTTTTGATTTGAAAATTTCTCTCAATTGAACACACATGAATGTGCAACTACTAAAAGAAAGAATGAATTTACATAGACAATGTGTAAACTCTTTGCACCTCGTTGTAATTATCCAATTATTGAATTTATAATTATTGAAATGACCATTGCACACTTGCTAGAGTATGTTGTCTTGTTCGGCTTATGTGTCGATGCCTTGTATGATGAGCTTACTTTGAGACTTGAATGAATTAACCTAGAATTTTCCTTGTTAGTTTGATTGATTTAGAAAGGGGCCCTCTTGACATGATCGGAGGCAACTTTCAAAGAGTATAATCCAATTTATATATATATATATATATGTCTCTTTTGTGGTCTACCCCTGAGAGTGTGAAACTTTTTTGAACACCCTTTGAACCTTAGCTCTTCTATGGAAAAACATTGATGAAACCTAGATCTTATGTTATCCATTAACCTATAATCCTCCTGAGATGTGATATTAGTTAATAGCCAACATAGGCCAAAAGCCTATGTTGGGTGTTGGTAATAAGTGCATGAAAAGTCTTGCAACCCCATGGTATTGCAGACAAATAGAAACCCTCCAGATAAAGAAAAGTAAAAGTAAAAGAAAAAAGAAAAGAATGAAAAAAAGAAGGTTGTAGAATAAAATCACAAAAATAAATCGGGTTTCCATGAAATCTATGGAGAATAAAAAGATGACAGGGGCACTTGACTAAGCATGATGAAGGAAGAAAGGGGATGTCTTGAGAAAAATCACATCTTATTGGAGAAAAATTCACTGAGCCTAAATGACAATACCTTTGCACTCAGGCCCATAAAAAGCCTTAGAAAGACCTTTTTGATCACGAGTAAGCCAAATTGAAGGTCAACTGTAAAAAAAAGGGCAAACCTATGGGTGGAAACATGCGTTGGTGTTTCTCTTTGTGAGAGTGAGTGTTGCATTTGATTCCTGGTCTTAAATTGATTAATATATGCTTGTGAAAATGGAATCATTCTTTGTGTCAGGGCATTAATATACTTTCATTGAAGCTTGAACTAATATAAGTTACAAGTATTGCGAGCATGAGAATCTTTGGTAATGGTGTATCACAACTTGAATCTTTGAGTATAAAATTGATCTATTCATGAGTAATTCGAGTCTTGTTATGTATTTTTATGATTTAGTCTTATGTATCACTATTTGAGACATCTTATTTGAACTGCTGAACTGGAGTTTTTCTTGAGGACAAACAAAATATTATGTATTATGCATTAATGATTCTTAAAATTGGACATATTTAGGGATTTATTTTAATGTAAATAGATTCCTCCATTTCTCATTTTATATCAATATCTTATGAGAGCTCGTAAGTTTCAGGCATTTCAAGTTTTAGTGATAGGATGGACACTTAGAGTCAAAACAAAAAAAAGGGTGAAAAATATCTGAAGTTGAAGCTTGAGCATCACTAAGCTGCTTGTGATCTACTGAATATAGACTTTTTGCCTGTTTTTCCATCAACTAAAGCCTGAAGGAAGTGGGTTCAAAAGGCGATCAAAATGAGGAGTCGACATTTTGATGAATAACTATGTGAATTAGAGTTATTCTGCCAAATGATATAACATTCATGGAAGATCAAGGACAATCTCAAACGGCGACAAACTAGAAGAAGGGCGAATCACAAATTAACTCGGCGATTAACGACTAAATCCACCGAACGGATTGTCCAGCATACAATACGAAGTCTAGAAATACCAAAATCTTTATCATTTTTAAAATATCCAAACATTATTACTATTTTTCACTTTGAGAACTCTAGTTTTTATATTTTTATCTAATGTTTGGAGAGGTTTTTGTGGGACACTTGAAAAAACAGATTCTTCATCCTCTAATTGGAAGTGGGTCTTCTCCATTCTTCTTCCTTTGTTCATATTAAGGTTTAATATCTTATACCCATTTGATTTCTTTGTAATTTTATTTGTATTTGATTATTGCTTGATGTGTGGCTAAAACCCCCTCATTTTTGGGGTATGATTTAGAAAACATGTGCTTATATTATTGTTAAGTCTTGCTTTATGATAGGATTAGATGTATTTTAATGGTGATTTAACCTAGTGGTTGTGGTTTAAGTTAATGTTTTTTTGTTGCAAATACAAAACAACCTATGTGTTTTTGTCTTTATCGAGAGAGAGAGGTTGCTAAACAAAGACCACTAGATTGATATCCTAAGGAGTGAGGTGGAAAGAGGATCAGCCCAAGAGGGTGAGCCCTAGATTCATTTCAAATCACCTTTTATCAAAAGATCTGGTGTGGATAAGGCGTATGCTAGATAGATTAGGCGAGTGGATATCCGAGAGGAACCCAATTGATATGGGGAGAGTTACCCCAGAGGGAATTAACTTTTACCTAAAGCTTATCCTAGTTTCTATTGTTTTGCTAATTTTTATATCAAAAGCATCTAACCATCACACCCCAAGAACTTTCCCACACACTTTATTTTCCATTCAATTTTTGTTTTTCTACTACTTCTTACAAATACACCGTTTTTGATTTTTGACACTTCGGTGTCACTAGTTGCATTTACATTTTTTATTCAATAATTTCTTAAGCTATCACTATTTAGAACAAAACTCTAGTTAGCTGCTATTTTCACTACCGTTCCCTTGGGACATTCCCCCAACCCTTGATTTGGATACTATACTCTCTTTGATTTGTAGACACTCATACGGTAGGCTAGTGTTGTTGATCATGAGAATCTAAAAAAAACATAAAGGTTCTTCTATATCATGTAGAAATTTTTTGACATCAAAAAAATGCTAGACGAAAATGCATCAGAAAACAAAATTTGGTAAATTTCATCCGATAAGAAATAAAGGAATGCATGTAACATTTTTAAATGCATAGTTTAGTGTAAGTGGATGATTTTTAGGCTATATATTATTAATCATGTGTTTATACATAATGTTCTAAAAATTTTAAGATTAAACATCTAAGTGGGAGATTGTTATGGTATATACCATTTACCACACATTTAGATATAATACATCATAAAATTTATGATGGTTACGAGTCTGAGTGGGACATTGATTAGATATATATATATATATATATATATATATATATATGTATATTATTAACCATATTTTTATATATACTATTTTTTATAAAATAATTATTTATTAAGTTGTGATAAAAGTTTTAATAGATCACATATTTGTTTGTGATGCTTTTTTACTTATATAGTAGTTGATTTAGTATATAATGTTTTAGCTTAAACACATGATTAAATCATCAATAATTACAAGTAAAGATTTTTTTGTTCACAATCTATAATGGAAATTAGACATGTCATCGGTAGGATTATAGAATAGATTATTTATAATTTGTCTTTATTATGGGAATGACATAGTTCCAACTAGTTTTAGTGCATTTTGTATGCATTAAATGAGACTGAGTAAAGATAGTTATTATAGAATGAATGAAAAAAAACATATTCTCTAAATTGTTAAATGTACTATATTTTCAATCTTCATATAACTATTATGATCTGTATACATTAATTGTAGTTTCAATTTATTAAAATGTGGGATTTTGAGATGAGAAAATATGTAAGATAAATTGAATGATAATAATACATTTCGTAAAATAATAAGTTAGTTGATGGAATCAATGTCTCGATATAGAGATTGTTGATATTCCTTTTTAGAAATTTATAAGTTCTCATTGTGTCAAATCTTTTAAGGTAATTTTTGAATATGACGCATGAAAAAAGTTGAGTGGTGCTCTAAAGAAAATTAATTAGTTAATTAAATTCAACCGTAATTTAATTTATTGGTTAGTATATGCAATCTTGACATGGAGAAGTATATAAGTGTTTGATGGAGAATTTATAAATATAAATATAGTGTAATTATTAATTTGAAGCACAATAATTGATAACTTATTATGGTAAGAATATTTAAAATTGATTGTTTGGAATTATGTCATTAATAGGAAGTCTCTCTAGTTTATTATATATTTCCTACAGTATTCATATTTGATAGAACTTGGAATCCTATTTTATGTGAATCGGAAGAATAACATGAGTTTTTCTAGTTTTCAAGAATAACAAGGTTTTCTACTCATTTTTGGAGTAAGAGAAATCTCTAGAAATTGAGATTATCCTAAGCTAGAAAGTTAGTCAATTTTCTATTTGATACTTATCCATCCAAGTATTAAGAGAGTTCATATTTGAACTTGGGATCATTTAGAAGATTACCTTTTTGTCTATCTTGTAAATTTGCTTGAGAGTCTTCCTATTGGTGGATTTGCTTGCAAGTATAATTTGCTCAAGCTTCAAGAATAATTTTTGAATGAAATTTTAGCAAGTTTATGTGTTGTAACATGATTATATATGGTCTAGCATAAACATATTAGTTGTTATTATTCATTTAAGGTATGCTTCCATCGTGCATATAGTTTTCCAACATAACATATATTATATTTTATGTTAGTTGCACTTGATTTTATACAAGTTCCAAGACCTATTATGTCATCTTGGTTTAAGGTTTTACTTGATAAGAACCAAGATGTCTACACCTCTTTCATATGAAAACTTTTACCTATTAATTACTAGTTTGTCATGACCCAAATCCGGGCCGCGACTGGCACCCACACTTACCCTCCTATGTGAGCGAACCAACCAATCTAAACCTTAACATTTCAAGGTAATATCAACATAAAGTAATGCGGAAGACTTAAACTCATTAATAAAATCAATTAATTAACTTCTAAAATTCAACATCTATTATTCCCCAAAATCTGGAAGTCATCATCACAAGAAAATCTACGATCAAATGACTAAACTAAGAGTATTCCAAAAGCTAAAAATACATAAGAAGCTAGTCCATGCCGGAGGTTCAAGGCATCAAGACATGAAGGAGAAGATCCAGTCCAATCTAGAAGTGTTAGCTCACCCTGAAGATCCGGTGTGACGAAGACTGGCTTGAGTTACTGTTGAGTCGAAGATGACGGCACGTTTGCTGCACTCCACAAAAAACAAGAAGAAAAACATAAAAGTAGGGATCAGTACAAAACACGGGTACTGAGTAGATATCATCGGCCAACTCAAAATAGGGAACAATATATATCAAATATTATCGTAAATCAACTATAAAACTCAACATGTAGCAACAACAAGTACTATAATCATCAATAAGTACCATCAAGTTCATCCATGAGGGATCAAGCCTCAACACCATACTCATTTGGGAATTAAGTTTATTAACTTGAGTATATTATCATCTTTCAAGATTTATTATCTTTCTTCCTCTTGTGTCGGTACGTGACACTCCGATCCCCTACAGCTATGTGCCGGTACGTGACACTCCGATCCCCTAATTCTACGTGTCGGTTTGTGACACCTGATCCCCTATATGTGTCGGTACGTGACACTCCGATCCCCTATATGTGTCGGTACGTGACACTCCGATCCCCTATATGTGTCGGTACGTGACACTCCAATCCCCTAATTCTACCTGTCGGAACGTGACACTCCGATCCATTAATACTATGTGTCGGAATGTGACACTCCGATCCACTAATACTATGTGTCGGAACGTGACACTCCGATCCACTAATACTATGTGTCGGAACGTGACACTCCGATCCACTAATACTATGTGTCGGAACGTGACACTCCGATCCACTAAAATCATTCTGTAAATTATCAAGCCTTCTCTATACCAAGGCATCATCAATCCCATTACTTTAATTCATCAAGCCTTCTTCTATACTAAGGCCTCATCATTAATAATGTATATTAAAGTTTCTTTTCAAGATTTGGGATTCAATATTTTCATCATTCTTATCTTATCACAATCACATAATCATATTCATGCAAACATACCATTAAGCATATAGTAGGGTTAAACAATACTACCAATACATATCATTCACTATTAAGAGTTTACTTATGAAAGCATGAAACCATAACCTACCTCCACCGAAGAATTGAAATCAAGCAAGTTAATCCTCAAAGCTTGGTGTTTTCCTCTTCTTCTCGATCGTTTCTCTCTCTCCCTTCTTGTTCTTTCTATTTTCTTATTCAAACCCTCTTTATTTTACCCTAATTAGTATATAATTAAGAATAAAAGATGGCAATAATACCCCACTAATTAACTTAGGGTTACCTCTTTTAACCCCCAAGAATTTGAGTTATTAATATAAACCCACGAACTTTATAATTAAGGCAAGAATAGTCAAAAACGTCCCTTAAAACTTAACCAGAAATCCGACTCCAACTGAGATTATGACAAGTGTGACGGGCCATCGCGCCTGTGACGGTCTGTCCTGCTGTCCGTCGCATAGTTCAAAAACTTGATTTTGGGTGAATGGCCTATGACGGTCCGTCACACCTGTGACGGTCCGTCCTGCAACTCTGTTACGAAGTTCAGAGAGTCGATTTTCAGTACCCAATTTCAGATTTTCTAAGTGTTTTGAAACGAGACCCTGTGACAGTCCGTCGTGCCCATGACGGTCCGTCGTGGGGTCCGTTGCTTCTGCCAGTTTTTCCAGAATTGAAGTTTGTTGCTCAAAACGACTAAACAGGTCGTTACAATAGATACCAATTTACCCATCGTTCGTCCCCGAATGATCAAAAAAAGGAAAACAAGGGAGAAAAGGAGTACCTGAATCTGTAAACAGATGTGGGTATCTTTCTTGCATATCTGCCTCCTTCTCCCAAGTGGCTTCTTCAACCGGTCGATTCTTCCATTGCACCTTGATGGATGCAATCTCTCTTGACCTCAACTTGCGAACTTCTCTATCTAGAATAGCAACAGGCTCCTCCTCATAAGACAAGTTCTCATCAAGCAAAACTGAATCCCAACGGATAATGTAGTTTCCATCCCCATGCTATCTTTTCAACATCGACA